GAGACTTGGCCTATTCGAGCAGCGGACCTGAGACGTCTTCAGGTTTTCGACAATCGTTGTCTCAGAACCATGGCTCGTGTGGGTTGGTGCCAGCGAATCTGTAACCAGGCAGCCAAAAAGCGTGTTTTCGGTTGTGTAACGGGTACTTCCATTGAAGAATGTGTCCAGCACCAGAAGCTGCGTTGGTTGGGACATGTTTTACGCATGCTGAACCATCGTTTGCCGAAGAGAGTACTGTTTTCCATGCCCAATTCGGAATGGCGTTAACAGAGAGGTGGCCAACCCATGACCTGGCAGAGGAGCATGAAGAAGACCACGAAACGCTCGGGTGCTGTCGGTGCTACTCGCCTTCCAGGATGGGGACCGCGTGATCCTCACTGTGCCTGGTTGGAGACACTACAAGATATGGCTGCCAACCGATGTGAGTGGCGTTCTTGTTGTCAGTTTCTGTCCAGGTTGTCGGAGTGAATGTCTGGAGGTGTAGGCACCTCGGAATGATTGTGTTAAGCTAGCACTAAGTCCCTCCCCCATCCACCTTTATTCTTTTCTTTACAATAAGGCTTTCAAATAAGTCATGCTTGTACGGCAGTGAAGCATTGGTGTTGAGCGCTGATGTCATGCTGTCGTTGATGATGATGATTCGCATAGCAAGCATCACCCTGTCTTTTAGCTCTTTTAAATAATTGGGAATATCTATGCCGCTGACTCAGATGTAATGAAATTCTATCACTCTCTGAGGTCACAGTCAGTGACTTATGCTTGCCATTATGAACCGTCTGCGTACTTACGACACTTTTATGCGTGCTTCACTGCGTTGAGTGTACATTCTTGCCATTTACTCTCACACCAGACTCAATAGGGTGGACAATTTTGTGCCTGATTCGCAAGTCTTGGCTGAGCTAGCGCTTACCGCGCTTTGAAGCGCATTCACCATTGTTTTTTCCTCGCCTCGTTGTTAGTCTTTACACGCGTGTTTCCATACCAAACATTCTTACATACGTCGTGATTCATTTTGCCTGACTGGAACTGTTTGTGGTATGACTTCGAAAGAGACGCTTCCCTCTTCTTATCTAATATTCTCCTGGACTGGACTTGATTCGGTACAGTCAACAGGTTAGCTTGGAATACGCACACGACATCATTGGCTGGAGAGTGTTTTCGTCGAAGGCATAGCACTGTCGTACAAGCAATCAACTACAGTAGCCTCGCCTAATGATAAATCAGTTTCCGACTTGAACAAGGGACAGTTGTTGACAGCCAATTGAATTAAACATTGATTGAGGTCCTCGGTAATCGCTGTCCGACTACAAACAAACAACATGAGGAATAACTGGAATGGACGAATCGGCGTCTACCAAAAAAAAGCAATGCTGGCCAACAAGACTGTGTCCTGCCTAAAATTGTTACATCAGAGATTGGACCATCTACTGGTGTGTACTTAACTGAACCAAGAAACTATCCTGCTAGCACTACCCACTGATCTACGAAACCCGTTTCGTTGAAATGAGAATAAGTTCTATCCCGCAAGTTTTCGAACCAGAATTTTGTTTTGGAGCCTCCAAATCGTAACAAAAGCAAGGAAATGAGTTCATTTAAGTGGTTTAGGTCTCTGTAAATCAAGTAAGGAGTGTGAGGTGAGTTCATTTGGAATGACTTCCATTGGGACCAGCAGTCCTAAATAGAAGTCCTTTCATTGCTCAAACCCGTTCAATAGAAGGTGGGTATACGAGAGCCCCCCTATGACGTGGTTCGACCAGATCTAGTATCCCTATTCAGAGTTGTGCCCGATGTAAACAACATCTGCACGATCGGATTTTTAAAGCCTCATTTACTTAATTTTTGAGCTTCGTGATTTGGATGTACTGAAATTAATATACTCAGTTTCCTGTCGAAAATAACCACAGGGCTCTCTATCCGAGTTTCTTCCCTACGATAGGGTGTTATCAGCAGACGAACTGATAAGACAAAGCACACGATTGCTTTAGTAACTTTTATTCTGCATAACTACTAACCCAAATGTTATTTATTTACATTCCGTCAAACATGATAGTCTGGTTATTGTTGTTCTAGTCCATTTCAAAAACGTTTCGCGAGAAACCATGCTTTGTAGTACTGAAGAGAATGACTGTCCGGTCTTGTACTTGTTTCCATCGACTATTAGTGGCAGAATTCAACCGCCGCCTCACGACAAAATTCAGCGTGTTCATCAGACATATTGCGGGATTCACAAATTAATCAAGAAACTGTGCATTTGGTCCTGAAATTGAGTGTAGTAAATAAGATAAGAGATAATGAAGTGTTGGTACCTGTCCAGTTTGGGTGTAAATTACAAGGATGCACAACAACCTACAATGAAGCGTTTTTTTTCATGCGTTTGAACCTCTAACAGCAAAGCTCATGTTAATCAGCCATATTTATAATCACTGGCATGTTAAATTTCTTCTGCATGAACAGGTTCAACTGTATAACGAAGAAAGGTTTGTCAACCGCGGTCAGTGGGATTCATTCGATCCAATCCTAATATCGGAATGTCTTTTTGCCGGGGCAAATATTGTGTCCACACTCAAACTGGTATACGTATTCACTGTGAGCCCTCAACTTGGTCCGCTGCAAATATCCCTCGGTCGCATGCTCTATGATATCTTCAAGTTCTTTTGTGTCTACGTCCTTGTCATTGTGGCATTCGCGTTCGGTTTGAATCAGCTGTTCTGGTTCTATGCCAACAATCGGGCTAGAAACTGCAAAAATGTACACTTCACTTTAGAGGAAGGACAGAAGGATGTCTATGACTATTGTATCACACGCGGAACACATTTTACCAAGTGAGTTGTTCGTGAAGTTGGTTTTGGTCAGACCATAATTAAAATAAAAGATAAACGTCCAGCTGTAACGCCCTTTCGGTGCCTAGCTGCCATGCCACCCGAAGGAAGTACGAGGACTGCCAGGTTACCCAAGCCTAAACAGAGGAAGTCGAGAAGCAGAGGTCGGGTCCGAACCATGGACCTTCCGGTCAGTAAATTCGCGCTCTAAACTCTGAGTCATCTCATCCTTCTGATCAGGCTGGTGACGGTTAGAATGACTTATGGAGTCCTCTCTAATCTACAGTCGGAACACGGTGGTTACACGCACTATTTTAGGGCCGACCGATCCCAAATCCCTACACACACACACGGTGACACCTCTTTCAGACGGAACTAGTGGGCTATGTATCAAAACCCCACGTTTGTTATGTTTTTCAAGTTTCTCATGGATTCACGGAATCATGGAGACAGATAACAGGAAAACCCTATGTCAGTTCTTTCGACTCCTGAACACCGTCGTCATCTATCGTCTCCCAGAGAAGAATCACTTCAGCTGGGATAGTAGGATCAAGAGAAGCTGGGACATAAATCCAGAAGCGTTCTGAACTATTCCTTAGAATGGACAATGAAGATCTCCACAGAAGCTCTACTAATTCTGATTTCTAGTCGTAGTGCCCAGCTATCTTCGTTTTGTTGGTCCTTTGTAGTATGATAGACAAGTCTGAGGCAGAACACAAAGAGGTCTGGAGTAGCCTCATGAAATTGTCCCAGGTACTGAGCGGATCGTGGTCTCTTTCGAAGCACGTGACCTACCGTATTGCTGATATTTCTGGTCCTGCACTTGTTCACCGCCAAATACAACTACTTCACCCCTAGTGGAAGTCCCTCGAAGAGAGACTGCTGTCCTGGACAGAGTTCGTCTGAAGCCACGAATAAGTGTAAAATCTGGCCTTCAGAGTGCCTAATTCCATGAACAGGCAGGGAAGTCTTTTACTTTTTGGTGTCCCTTTCCCGTATAAATTAGACCAGTTCGATAATCTTACCGTTAGCTTAGTTAACTTTGACCACAACTGAATAAAGAACCCCACCGTGAGGCCAACTTCGCTCGAAATTTCATAGGAATGTCCAAGACCTGCCCACAACAGAAGCAAAACGGTAGACTAAAGGTTTGTCATCAATGGTTTGTATAACCCTGCAGCTCTCATGAGGACAGCTGCTGAGTAAAAATGCTGACCAGGACAGATTGGAAGGTCCGGTTTTAATTGAATAAATGTGCCTCTTAATTTTTTTGATAATTTTGTTGACTGCATTTCAAAGGTTACCGGCATTAGTACTTCGGTTGTCGCCGGAGTATGAGATCCAAGTAACTATGTTTTTCGCTCCCATTTTCATCTCACTTTTGCGTTGTGGGCAAATAAGCAATTTGTGGTGCACACGTAATGACGCGCAACCGAATCCTCTCTCCGTACGTGGATGTCCAGATCAGTTGCAGATTTGTGTGGCATGAACAGCGTCCCGTGTAGCAGACAAAGTCTGAGACCGTTTAGGAGGGAGAAGGGTTGTGCATAACAGCATCCTTTATTTGATACATATTCCCGAAAGCCCAGGAAAGAATGAAACATCGGAACCAGCAGTTAAATGTAGTCCGTCTCAGTGTTTGTACGTTTCCAAGATCATGCAAAACTTATTGTGGATAGCGCGAAAAAGAATAATCCCTTTTCTTCTTGTTTCACAGCCTCTTTGAAATCGCCCAATCACTGTACTGGTCCAGTTACGGGCTGATCGATTTGACCAGCTTCAATCTGGAATATCCCCATGCATTCACTGAATTCGTAGGTAAGTGTCTTTTTTGCTGGACAAACCTTGCTCAGCATTCCCTCGTTGGTTTTGTCGTAATCAGTATGAGACATTGGTGGTGTCGGAGGTGGAATAGCATATTTCCACTTTAGAACATCAATTTGTCTAGATAGGGTACGGCAATGCATACCGGGCATCACTTCAGTCCCACACGATAGCTGAAAAATGCGTGGGGTAGTCGTTTGACTACTTACAAGTAGCCACATAGATCGAGAAATTTCGTTTGACGTTTGAACTTGACTTGTCCGCCACGTTTGACTTGTTCGCATTTTTTCAGTGTGATGAGGATCATCAAAGTGGGTATACTCTGAAGAACATATGGGGCTGTTAAGACCCGGACTGAAATCATTAAAAACGCTGCAGCTGTTCCATTTTTATTGAGAATCCTAGTCATCACAGGTTGTCAATGTAGAGGCGCTTAAGGACCAACAGCTCTCCGGATACCATGTTTGGAAATATGTCTGATCCGCAGACTTGTACTACCTAGTCTGAACAGTTTTGGTTGCTATAATGTGGCGTAGCTCATTGAGTGACCACTTCTTAGAACAAGGCTGCTTTAGGCGGTGAAATCAGGCGCTTCAAAATTCCGAAGGTGATTAGCAGGTGAAATAAAGTTATCTGCGGCATGAGGGAAATTAAATCTACGTTTAATATTGCAATGTTCTGATACTCTGCCCCGAGAACTCAAGTTTAAATCAGGTTTGAATATGCACTATTGACCGAACACTTTCCGATGCAGACTGAAATTGATGACACAAAGAAACTAGGAATCATCCACCGATTGTTTACCAAACCCCTCCGAAACGATGACTTCCCAATCGGTTCCAAACATTTTCCAATTGATTGGAGACTAGCAATCAGTTTACACAAATTGTTGTGACCTAAGGCATGGTTCCCGAGGGCTTTCGGATTCAACAGGTGACGTCTACACGCCTGACAGGTGGCAGGGTTGTGAAATTTCCCGACAGTACACGTACGTGTGGGGGGCCAGGTAGTGACTGATCCACAACGTCGTCATTGAAGGATGAAACAATCAAGCTGTGAATAAAAAGGCATAAGAGAAAGCGTTTCACTGTGAATAATCACTGCACATTCCAGTATCTTCTTCCATGACCTAAGGAAGCTATTGCACGCCTTGGAGTTTCGGGCCGTGAAAAATCCGGAAGCAACTGAAAAGTATATGCGCTATGCAGTGTTGTTATTGGTTTGAATGGAAAGTTGTCGAAAAATCGGCTGCTTAATAAGTAATCCATCATTTCGGTGATCAGAGGAGAACCATACCAGAGGCAAGTGAGATAAACAAAATACAGAAAAACATTTGCACATTCACTTGTATCTTTGTTGTCACATCAGGTGTGCAGTGCTAGTAACTGGACGAGAAATTAACAGCTAGTCCAATCCAGATGGATAAAAACTATTCGACCTAGTTGGAGTGTGTTGATCCCAAGAGCCTCAGCACACATGCCTTCTGAGAATAAAATTCACCGTAGAACACGAACGTATTTACAGCTGACGACCTGCTCTTCAGCTAGAGTGTGCAGGGATCTGTTAAAATTTCTGGAATTGTGGTCATTCCCGCTACCGGAGCTTGCGGGCAGTTCATGTTCTTACGGGCGTCCAATGAAGCATTTTGACGTCGTACAACAGTCACGCTAATTAGCTGGAACATTGGGGCATGCACACACATTAGAATATTAGGGATTGACTAACTCATGAAATCATCTGACCTCTGGTAAGTAATTTGAAAGGGGCAGTAGGAACAAATGTTTTAGGATGAATTCACTTCGCACATGCTAAATAGGAAGAAGCAAAACATAACAGAGGGACTGAGGTGCAACCTAACAAGTCGGCAAAACCAGGGATGCCTCAGTTAAACCTCAAGTCCAATAAACACACAGTACGGCCTTGTATCCGTTAATCAATATTGCGTCAGTGCACTTAAGTCTGTGGTCAGTTGCTTCTCGCTATGACTTCGAATGTAGGACAACCTCATGTTCTATCTCAGCTCGATACCTGTTGATCGATAATTTGACCTTCTACTCGTTTATGGTTAAACTGAAGTTAGCCAGCAGTGAACGAATTTGTTCGTACAGGTGACCTCTTATTCGAATTTATAACCCTTTGGTCAGCTCTACTAATGCATATATTTTCTCAGCCGCATGTAAACTGCCAAATACAATGGTTGGTGGGTGAAACTTACTCTGGTGCTTTGATCGGTGGCAATGACATGGCGCTTATGTATACTTCGATGTTCAGCTGTAGTAAGCGTAGGCTCATATTTAAACTCCATTTAAATTGATTGCAACCATGGAGACTATTGTAGCGAATCTGCAGGTAAACACTCCATGAGACTCAGAATCACACTTCATCTTTGCCCCTCATTCTGGGGAGCTTTCCGATGGAACAATTAGAACAGTTGTTTGATGACCGCACATGTTTTAGCACTTCATCCTCCCCAGCAAGCAAATCTGTCTTGCTGCATGGAATAAAGTCTAAACCAAAGCATCCCAGGACAGAAGCTTGAAAAACTGATATAGTATCTGATTCAGGCAGGCTTTTGGTAGAAACAGCGAGATATTATACCATCGGTTTCCAGGTTATCAAAACGTCCGATAAGGGGATTTCGCGTTTTACTTCGGAGTGACAAACAGAAGCAGAGTAAATTTCAATTGTGATCAAGGTCTTTTTTGTTCCGTTTTCTGCCATTTTCGCAATTATCATCATAAAATGTCCAACTGTGTGTCTCGAAGTGCTCCTATAGGGACACCAACTTGTTTGTAGCTGGTACATTGAAAAAATTCTCGGTAGAAAGTAAAGTAAGGTTAACCAGAGTCAGGTCAGTGTCTCGGTTAAAATGAGCGGTAACACATGACCATCTGCAAATTATCAAGGTGATCAAGTTTGATTTGCAAGATCATAGATACCTCGAAAACGCGATTTGTTAAGAGCTGTCTGAAAAGTCCTACTGACACCTACGAGACAGTTAGCTAGTTGGCAATAAGGTAAACTCATCCCACTCACTACAAATACGTAAATCTAGCTTACGAGTTTTTGCAACCTCATAAAGCTGAGGCAGTGACACCTGGAGGTTTCAGTGCACTGAATCCAGTACGAGTAATAAATTCAAAAATGAAAGAATCGTACCTCTCGTAAAACTCGATTCAGCACTACATTGAATACTATGTTACTTAAATGTTGACGGGATAGAAGTTGAACCTGACAACTAACAGTTCATTGGACACAACCCGTTTTGCCCTCCTTCCGTTTAAGGGATTGCGACAGCCTAAAACTGGTGAACAGTCAGAGCAACTTGTCTCAACAGTCATCGATCCCCGCGGAAAACTTACTTGGATTAGGCAGAAGGTTTAGGCAACCTCTTAGTTGGCCCAAACATCTCAACCATACCAGCGCTTTCGTTCCTATTGGGACTCATAAAATGGGCGTAGAAGGACGAGCAACATTACCTGTCAGTTTGCAGTTTCATGCAGTTACTCTCCAAACTATTTAGTCGTAAGGTCCTACACGAGATGACTATCCAAATAGAATGTTCCGACTGTTCACTAGTACTCTAGTCAACGGCTGGTCTGAACAAAATTCAGATCTATTGGAAACTCTCCAGCGGTGTAAAATGGTCGGCGGACGCGTGATCCAGAGAATAAATGTCCGAAAATCTTAGCTTGAAGGTTACATATCCGCTCCCTCTACGACCACTTGATGGGTCTCATTAAAAACGAAATCGATTGTGAAGCTAATCTTTCTGGGATCCCACCACATCTTTCTTACAGCAGGTAGTGTTCGCTCACGAGCGACTATCAGCGGCGCTCTGATGATACTGATTCTGTTGGGTAAATTTGTAGCTCGGGGCTATGATAATTTGTTAAGTTGCTACTACCAACATACTTCCTTTTACTTACTCTGCAGGAAAGCTGACATTCGGTGTCTACTCGTACATTGCGTTCATTGTGCTTCTCAATATGCTTATTGCGATGATGAACAGCTCTTATGAACAAATTGTGGTAAGTTAAAGAAGCAGAGATGAATGTGGAAGAAATAGTTCGTAGCTCAGGCTGTCCATTGATGACTATGTTGTTTGCTGAGCAACGAAACTGTCAGGTACATTAGGACAGCCTACAAGACAATCTTGGTGCATCGGTAAGCAGTCTCAGAAAAAGCACTATACTGGCTAGGCTTGGGCACCTCATCAATCTTAGCCCTGGTACTTCCTTCGTGTGGCATGCACCGAAAGGATGTTACAGTTGAACGGTTGATTTACTGATTGATTGAAAGTACAATGCTGAATGAGACCTGATGTGCTACCAAGGACAACTTTGGTACCTCAGGTTACAAAGTTGGCCCTTGGTTTGTTCAGTGAGCTAGGTATTTTATTTGCAAGCGTCTCTTTATCAATCGAGGCGACACTGTTGATGCATCGTTGTACTGCGGTGAGATCCCATAATAAGTCTGGGTTGGATACACGGACTGGGAACCACAATCAGTTTTGGTTCAAACAGAATCAGATGGGAACACCGAACTTCTTCTTCCTCAAAGTATGCACTTGGACCACTCCATGCAATAAGAAACACAGAATGGATTGTTCCCTCCTTGAATGCTCCACCAATCCTTTTGGTACCACACAACCTTATTTGGGACCAATTCCACTTGTTGATGAGGACAGACAACCTATTTGAGCTGGCTTCATCCATTTTCCGACAATGACTGTACCAATTTGAACAACGGTTTGTTGATCTCAGAGATGTATAGCTACACTAGAACGACTGTCTTTAACTGGCTCAGATTATAGCAATCAATTATACTTCGACGAACGCCTTGGCAAATGTTGGACAGTCTAGTTGTGTCAGTGCATCCCGCTGTGTGAACGCAAATAATGCATCTTTCGGACAAGACCTTATTTCATAGTAGCCTTAAATAGTAGCCATAAATGTGTGGACCATAAGGTATCCGTTGAGGGATTTTGCCTTGAAAAGCTTCGGGGTACGGTATATTCCTCTCAGTTACTTCAACTGGGAAATTATAAGGTGCCTTCAGGTGAGTGTACATTTATGTATCCATGACTAGCATCATTGCACGTGATCCTCCCTGCGGTGATGAAATGCTCGGTCCATCTAGTGAGCACGATGAACGTCTTACTACCTTAGGGTATTCAGGAAGTCAGCACAGTACATGTTTGCTACAGTAGGTCATTATTCATTGGATTCATTATTTACTAGGCTTACTCACTGGTCACACGGCAGTCGGGGTCTTGATTTGGGATTTTTCTTTCTGATGTGCTGTTATAGCAGATTACTCGACAAGCAGTGGAATTCACCACACAGGTCATCCCAACCCCATACAGCTCAATTTTTACAGGTCTGCACTGATCACAGTCGTTTCATAATGTGCGATAATTTCATTCCACTTATTCTCAACTTGCACTGACAAGCAACAAGTCGATGTGGAATGGAAGTTTGCGCGATCGAAGCTGTGGATCAGTTATTTCGTTGAGGGCTGCACTGTCCCCGTCCCATTCAATCTTGTGCCGACACCCAAGTCAGTCATGTACATGATGCAGTTCATCAAGAATTCGATCCGTAAGTGCTGCCACAAGGATGCTCGACAAAGTGAATGGGATATCATGAAAGTACGTCGATCGATTGTATTGTATTCTGGTGTAATTGTGTGCTCGAGCTGGTGCGAACATATAAGTCACTATCTTTGTTTCACTCACATGATCCGATTGCTTTTTGAAATCTGTAAAGCAAGTCCACTCGCGCTAGGGGTTATAACAGATTTCAGTTAAGGTCACTGCTTATCGAAACCTATCATCTCATCTCAGCATACCCCATCTCGTTTACCTACTTACTTGTTTGCTTACTTAGTTAAACTAACCGTTACTTGTACCAAGTGGTCAAACCATTAGTATCATTCAATTGAGGCGGCAATTGATTTGAAGTCATGGATGACATCCGCGAGACTATTTAGTCTCGCGGATGTCATCCATGATGTCATCCATGTCATCCAGAACGGTTAGGTTTGAGGAAGCTGAAAGGAAGGTACAGAATTTGGAAAGTGGTGAATTTTCCCAACTATGCAAAAAATTCAATTTTCCATGAAAGTGTCCTGTTTCATAACTCCGTTGTGAAAAGACTGACTGAGCTCATTACTAAGTTGGTCTTGAAGCGCCACACTAATAGCAACTAACCAGCAGTATATAGCAATTCCCCAAAGAGACCACCTTGAAGAAGGGGGCTTTCGATTATTTTAGAGGTAGACCCGCTTCGCAGGATCGGTTATCTCCTTTGTGAATAATGCTTATGAACAGAATATTCCGCTATGTTCAGCTACGTTTGCCTCCCGATATGTGTGATGCAACGTGAAATGAATACACCGCGTTTACATCCATTTCACTTGTTGCTTCCAAGAAAAGTATCCCTGTTTTCGATGATTCGATGGTTTCTTAAGCATTATTTGATTTTTTTCGTGTTCTGACTTTGATTTTTGATATACTGTTATGAGAATCTCTGGTCGCATTGGAATTCATCAAAGCGCAAGCGATTTTGAAGACTAACACCCATATCTTCTGTGATGGTTTACCAATAGGCCTCAAAATAGGCTAGCTTTCGTTTCGGTCCCATAGACACGTTTTTGATATTTTTCAGCGCAGAAACTCTACCTCTAGCGGAGTGGATGGTGGGAAAGTGGTGCCATTAAAGACTAGTCATTTATATAACGTCTTCAAGCGTGCAGTCACTGGTGACTCCAAAGCGCACCAAACGGTCGGTACTGTAACAAAACATGATCAGCTACTTGATGACGAATCAGCATATGCAAAACAGCAAACAAGACTTATCAGTTGGGGATTCTCACATACAGACAAAAAAGAAAGCGCTATTTCCATTTCAAAGGCTTGGTAACGAAAAATTCACCGGGGACGGGCCCAGACGGGCAGAACAAAACGAAACGTCCACTGTGATCTGCAAAATTCTTGTTGAACGGGGCTGGAAACCGCACGAGACATGGCACTTAACTGAAATCAGTGACAAGCATGTTATCAGAATGCTGAGTTATGCTCTAACTGTCCCTGTGTGCTGAGGTAGAGTTGGGTAAGATTTGCAGAGGGTTCTAAGTGAATGCTATCAATAACATTTTACTCGAACATGGTGCCCACATGCGTTTGTCTCAACGTTGATGGAAGATGGTGCCTTTATAGCGAGATAAGTCTATTTTGCATCTTACCAAAAGATTTAACTGAATCTCTCGTTTATAACATTCTTCCACTAAATATGCTGCACGAAGACTGCCTCTTGATTCAGATATCACAAAATTCAGGAACTATACTTCCTTCTCTAATATCATACCATACGAAGCTGTACATTTAGTTGAAAACTACCATAAACAAAGCATTCATCTAGGATTCATCTGGGTCTTCCATTGATACAAACTTAATTTGCGAATGTATTCCGCGAATTGAGTACATTAGAAGCTGGGTTTGATTGAAACTCGAAGAATACCAGCCTAGACGACGGGTTTAATGAAGAATGAAACCGGTAGTGGGTTGTCGAAAGTTTACAGGGACTCTATAATTAGTGTGTGTAGAGAATTTAGGTTTTGTTTGGGATCACGTCATTCACGAAATGTTTAGTACCCATCAGCGTCACCAGTCAGGATTTAACTGCCATGAAGATCTCCTCAGCTGTTAATCATAAATGGTGCATCATGGTCTACCATTCGTTTGCTTAACTTGAAACATTTTTCCGCATTGTATGACTCAAAATTTTTTCTGGAGTGTGATAAGTTCATTCATTATTACCCTTTAACTTTTAACTTTATGAAAAGAGAACAATGTTGACTAGTTTTGGATAAAACCTTCAAATTAACGGAAAGTTGAATTAAGAAACAGTTTGGAATTTTCCCGAGTAGTGCTTCTTACAACGAGGAATTCAGTCAACGGATAACCACGCGTTCATCTCCATTGCTGAAATTCGCCCGAAATTTCAGTTGCGCAGCAAATTCCGAAATGATCTCATCAATGTGTACAATCAGTGTTAACAGCTTTTTCGTCTGATACTCCCCCAGTAATTCAGGCAAACAGATGTTCCAGAAATAAACCAACCAGAAAGTGGTTTGAAACAGAAAAGAAGCCTGAACTCCTTTGCGCTGTAGTGCGCTGTACTTATCTGAGTTGGCCAAACAAGACTTTTGAGGATTTACTTAGATCAGCATTCAACGTGTGTTTTGCTGTTAGGAACGCTCCACATCTCAATCACATCTTCATTGGTGCGCGCCCAGAAAAAAGTTATTGATACATTTCAGGTGAGCTGTGCTCATCAATGAGATATCGTTGCTAGTCTTTATGGCATGGGCTTATACCGAGAACTGTGGAAGTTTCAATTTGCTACATTTGATGACAATAAATTCCTCGTAAAGCCTTTCTGCCATTTCACTGTAGAAATACGTCAAGATGATCAAAGAACGTGAAGCTCGTTACATGGTAGTGATGCGTGAACTAACCAAACGATACATTATGAAGAAACTCCGAGCTGCTGAATTCGAGCCTGTGGGTGCTGACGATTTGAATGAAATCAAAGGGGATATCAGTGCATTCCGCTTCGAACTACTTGATATTCTGAAGGCAAATGGGATGAATATACCAATGATTTACAGAAAAAGTACGTTTTTTGTAATTTTATTGGTTGGTGCTTCAACTTGATGCGCTTTCTCTGCACGAGACGATACGAATTTGTTTTATGGAACAAACACACCTATCTATTTTACGGGTTGTACTCGTATGCTGCTAATGCGTCCCTTCTGTTCCATTAATGCTGAATGCATTGTATCATAGGACGTAATTACTGCTGATGTGGTTCAACACTGAAGACTGCAGGAGACATCACGTAACTTAATACAAGAAGCGTGTCATCCCGCGTGAACACTTTGAGCACTTAACTTCTTTGTGATGGTTTAGGAGAGAAGACATCCAGGGAGTTTATCACAATGCAAAAGTCTATGAAGCGGGAAACACACCGATTTGTAGATTTCTGAGAGCATAATTCGTAAATATATACCGGGACGACTGTTCTTATTATACTCAAGAAGCGGAAGCTACATCGAGAATTGCAAAGTGATTTACGATACACAGTGTGAGTCATTTTTTGACGAACCAATTTAAGTGTGCAGTGGATATAAGGACACAGCCGATAAGTCAGAATGACATCTGATTCACTGTAGGTATTTTTTGCAACCCCGTCACGAAGAGACTAAACCTTATCGTGGTGTGACTGTTTGTGCACCTCAGCGACCCACTGAACTGTACTGGGAGGTGTCCGCGCGACACCCACAGTCTCTCATACCATATTGACCAATGGTTAGAGGTCAGGCAAACAGTCTCCTGGTCCTCCAGGTTGGGAGTTGAAACATGTGACAACTTGTTCCCACCAAATACCGCCGCCTTGCGGTTAGGCTATTGAGCCAAAGGCTTTGGTCGGGGGCCCTAATCGTCCTCCTGTCTACGTGTGGGCGCCCTGGAAGTATCACATCCCAAGTACAACCTGACATTTAAAACTAATGGTGCTCTCATGCCACATCGACTTCGGGTGGTGCCACCCTCCCGGTCACCTTATTCGCTGCATACAGCAGGGCGGGTAGGCGAAAACAGACTACTGCTGACGCCTCCCTTCTTTCCCTCTCACATACTCCATCAGTAACTTTTTCCTTGTAGCCCCAGAACTAAGAATTGATGGCTCCATCAGTCTTGAATCGGTTTTGTGTGCAACATCTGCTCGTCACGTGGCGCCGACATTCTCGGGTATCTCGAAATCAATCTTCAAGCCTCGACGCCCAGTATATCTGGCCGATTTTCTTAGTACGGCAGTGGAGCATCGGTGTTGAACACTGATGTCATGCTGTTGGTGATGATGATTTTATACAACCTATGAACATGAATTCCTCTCCAAATATTTAATAATAATGGTAATATGGTATGCACCCACAACATAGTTTTGGTATTACCTTTGTTATTCGTCGAAAAATCTTAATGACAAATGAAAGGGCAGTTTAAAAAGGTACAGAAATTCGAGTCGAAGGAAGCAACGTGAAGTCTACGAAAAAGGGAAACTGGGCGGCAAAGTTATCGTAATACTTCAGTGTCTAGTCTTAATGATCAGTTTGTCACTTCGCTTTACCGTTTAAAGCACCTTGAGATGCTTTGATTGAGCACCGTGATGACATTTTGACTGATTACTCTTCAGAATTCAGCAATTTCTGGGAAGTTTCTTACGTTTACACAGTCTTTTTTTTAACGCGAGCTACCTACTTGATTTTTGAGTCACAGATGCTTACTAGTTTGTGTAGGCTGTGCGTTGGTATGTCAAGTACGTTTTTAGTCATGCTGAGAGCGGTTCTGGGAAGTTCTTACGTTTACACAGTCTTTTTTTAACGCGAGCTACCTACTTGATTTTTGAGTCACAGATGCTTACTAGTTTGTGTAGGCTGTGCGTTGGTATGTCAAGTACGTTTTTAGTCATGCTGAGAGCGGGACATTGGGTGGTACCCCAGCTGATGAAACGGGAGATGACCCTTGAAAAGGGGTGATTGTAAACCACTGGTTTTCGCGCCTGGATTATCCTGTCCTCTCTCATATCCATATAAATGAGAGGCAACAATCACACACATGCACACATGAGAGCTATGAATATCATTCGTGATTGCTAGTCGTCGCTTGCGTTTGATTCAGCAGCGAAAAGTCAGTGTTCAAACACTGATTATGATGGTGATGATACCTTGCAGTTTGAGCAGAAGCAGGACGAGAACAAGAACTAATTTTGAAAAATAAGCCTGTTCTAGGTCTGGTTCATATTTCGTACAGTCCCACCGTTTCGGACTATGTGTAACTATTTTCTACTATCTGGTTATGATATGATGCTGTTGCTGACTATAGGAGATGGTGGAATTGTTTCTGTGCCGCTTGAACCCATGAAACTTCCGCAGTACTCCAAGACTCTTGGAACTTATCTAGGTTTCTGAACAGGTGGGGTAGCTTCGCAGATATCATGTTTTGTGTTGTTAAGTGTGGTATTACTTGAGTTGAATTTTTAACATTTTGATCTCGGAATACTACTTAAGTAACAGTACTGACCAGTGTTCAAACATTCACTGTGTACATCCAGCTCTTATTCTCATCAATGGGCAAGAGCATAGGATACTTTAAGCAAAGCAGCCCACTGCTGACATATGTTTTGACGCAATTATGGTGGTAAACTTATAATCTAAACTCCGTTAAAAACGTTTTTGCCTTACCACCTAATTGAAAGCGCGATTTTATGACCCCAAAGCCGAATGAGTAGTTACTGTACAAAGAAGACTAAAACTTATAAGCCGTGCTGCTATCCAAGCATTGGTAGTATTCCTCAAAAGGTTTCGGGGTGAACAAACAGGAATTTGCTGTCAAAATCGATGCAAACGGGGCAACACTCGCTTTCCATTGATGATTAAGTTTGTCTAATTTCAAGGAAAATTTATATGGATTCTGTGGACCGTTTCTAGTGCTATTCACAGGAGGCGCTACGTTCATTGCCAGTGAACTTATGGCGAAAAAGTAGATATTACTAGAATTCCGTCTCCCAGCAGAGGTAAACCGATTCTGTCGAATAATCAGGCAGCATTCTAACGTTCTGCTTACTGGATTGGTAATGGGCGAATTCTAAGGTTCCAGTCGGTAGTTATTATTGAGAATCAAAGTGCAACCGTTTCATTCTTATTGGGTTCGTTAGCGACGCACTTCTTACAGATCTACAAAAAACTGGAACCCAAAGCCTTTCGAGCACCACTAGTGGCTGATCAGCGCATTTTAGCGCCGATCATTCATCAGTCACACATCCATGTGTTCAATGGTCTCTCGAGCGGTGAGGAGACTGTAAACACCCAAGCTGAAGCTGTATACATTGGCGAGCTCCTCAGGTAGGCAACGTTGGTAGTGAGGCCACCCATCTGATGATCCCAGTTTAACCAGTAGCTTTAGCAGTTATGGAAATTTGAAAAAAAATCTGGATGTTTGAAGCCTCGTAGGACATCATAATTCTAAGCGTTTTTTAACGAACAGAGTTTACTGAAAAACAAGCCTCATGTACATGGGCACCACTTGGTCGAAATAAATTATATTCATTTTTTAGCGGATATTGTCGAACTGTTTTACCCAGGTCATTTCCTTAGGAATCAGCTTTTTCAAGCCAATATTCACCGGCCCAGCTGTGACATACGCTCAGCAAAGCTCGTAAAATGTACTTTTTTGTTATTTGTAGTACAATAGCTTCAGTGGCTTCAAGTCATATGTTACAAAATAGCGTGTGTCGAGTACTCACGGCAGATCGGACCGCCGGATTTCACTTTTACCTACCAGCTGTTCTTAACTTTTGCTGTTAAAAAATTGCGCCACATTGATCCTGACTATACTGTACTTTGTAGACCATGTTGTATACTGTATTATACTATCCTTCCTTGAATCTGTTCTATTTTATTGGGAAATCTCTAGGGTAGTTTGAGACAAAAATCAAAACGTACTTGGTTTCAAATTAAGAAGTGTTGAAATGTTTGCAACGATTCGAATTTTACACCACAATTTGGGCACCAATCCTACCCAGTTACTTAATTACTAGAATTGTGTTTGGATATTTTACGATCGATAGACCTTGAGAAAGGTATTTGGACCTCAGTGTATCAAGCACCCAGAATGATCCCACTGTGATGAGATTTATGAGGTGACATTCGACTGCAACTCAGGTAGCAACTTTCATACGCATCGTTTCCTTATGAAGTATCCGACGATGAAATAACATCGAAAATATATGGCGCTACTCGCTATGTAGTTAATCCATGAACCAGAAAGGAGACGAAGTTCCCTGCATTAGTTGAGGATAATTAGAATATAGTAGAAATGATTTATTCAAAAAACGTGTTTGGACGGAAACTACCATCGCTGTTGCCCACCCCTTTAACTGGAGATCATCAGATCAGAGATCATCATCACCGAGCAACGCTCCATAGTACTAGTTGCATGGTAGACCTCACTTCAAACTTATTGTTTCTACCGGTGACATTTCATAGTAAGGGATGTTATAATCACCCCTTATTGTTTCATACTGAAGTTTTTAAAGTATGCAGAATACAACTGACATTTGCAAACATTTTTGCAGATGCGCAAAGTTCTCTTCCAGTGTATGTTGCTGGAAATGCGTTTAGCCTCCCACCGTATCGCAAAATTATCCCCGTGAGCAGTCCTTTGCCTAGTGCGTTAGTAAAAGAATTCCTCCATCAGCAAAAATTTAATGTTGAGGCCATCCACCTATAGTTGTAAGCTGAATGGGCAGGAAATTGATGAAAAGGCTGTAAGAGATGCAGAATGTGGAATCCTTTGTTTGAAAGATAATAAACCAGTGACTTTGTACTTCACATTGGGGACCAAGCACTGAGTACTCTGTTCTTGGTAGATATAATTCCCGTGAGTTACATGCTCGCCCATGAGTTACTGCTAGCCAGCTCGATTAGTGTGATGTGTTCTGTCTTCATGATCGTAAAGCCCAAGTGATACTGTATCCGATCGCCTCCTCATCTTCCCAAAAGAATACCGACTCCTAGGTAATCCTGGAAAATAAAGCTTTGGAAAGGGCTATTTGGGGGTCATCTCCCACAGAGACGGTTGCATTTTTTGACAGGAAGATTATGATAACGGTTTTAGCTTTCAGACGGTGCGTGACCGAAATACCTGTGTTTAGACTGATGAAAAAGTAGAAAAATGACGTTTCTCTCAACCCTGGTTGGTTCAAAAGAACTAGCACTCCAGGGTTTGGGGTCTACATCCTTTTTTTCAGTTTCATCTTTTTCTTGGTGTTAATATAGGCCTCCCTGTAGCTTATCGTTTACCGTTGTAATCCCAATATCAAAGTGGTTTAGTTGACAGCCTTTCGCGCACTTTCTTGCTACAAGGGGCAGCAACTATGGCTAATAAATTGTCTCAAGTTTTTGGTGAGACCAAAAACAAGTAAGAATATGATTTTATCGTACTTTTGATTATTATGTTCACGCTTACTTATGATTCTCTACTGAAAGCCGGAAAACTCAGGAAGAATCGGGATGGACTACAAACCTCGGATTATGAAGATATTAGCAGTTTCAAAGAAACATTACTCGAAAAAGCCAAGGGTGTGGAATCCAAAAAATCAGCGACTGGACTATTCAGAGCCACCGTGGACATGGCTCGTGCCAGGGCAACAATCGATTCACTGCATCATGGAGGGCCGGTGGAAAATCCGGCTTTTGTATCTGATGAACCGGATTTTAAACAAAAAGGACAAACTGTCGAGTGTGTCAGTGAACTGGAGCCGTTTCCAACAACCACTCGGGATGTCGCTGTAGTGAGGAGACTAAGAAGCAGAAAGGATTCCGAAAAGGTAAGTTTCATGGTAGGTTTAATGACTATGCTGAGATCCAACTGCAAGTGGCCCATTCATGCAAGGCATACAGTTTAGAGCTGAAGATCGGATGAGAGGGGTATGGCTAATAGCTGATTTTTATCCAAGAACGTTGAACGAGAGTCACTTGGGCATGTTTGTCGGCCTTCTAAGAGTTTCGGCCGTTCTTCTGCATTGGAAGTCGTCCACAGAGTGGACAGGGTGTAGTCGTATAGCCCTCTCACCGGTCGATTGTCTTGCTGTTGCAATTGACAACAGGGTGGTTAGTTCTACTCAGTCGCCATTAAAACAACTGGAATGGCTGTCGTGATGACCGTAGCATACAAGAGGGTGGAGAGTTGAACTCAGAAGCTCAGAATAAAACAAAGAATAGCTACGACCCGCTACAGAGCGATCAAGTTTAAGAAAAGGTAGTCTTGAAATTTACTCTAATGCGCAGAGAAATTCGGTGCTATTTATTGAACGCTATCAACTTTTTCATCAATGACTGAACATTACTAATGCAGCAAAGCAGAACGAATCTGACTAACGACCCAGACAATGGTCCGCTCAGGAGACAGAATTTAGGGCACGTTCCAATACCTGGCACTATATTGAGTTCAGGAACGGAAGGCATCCATAAATTAGGTTGTCCTGTATTTGATCGTTTTGCCACATTACTTGCCACAGGCAACCTGTGATAAGATAGCACTGAAAAGTCAACCCAGTCAAGATAGTTGAATCAGGCCATATGAGTGTCGGGGTCCCACCTGCCAATCTTACTATACATGTCAATGTGGTAATAACTTCTGAAGATTGTTGAATGTACCTGATAGCTAAGGTGCTCAAATTGTGTGACAACTGAGACCTTGGGACGGGAGTCCTCAAAAATAGAAGTTTATTTGGCAACCTTGATACAGCACTCCTTCTGCCTCTTGAGAAAGTACCCAAGAGGGATTCAGAAATAGTTCCGCAATGAGATGAGGAGGCGTTTCCTTGTGGCACAGTGATCATTGAGAGCGGCTCAGCATGCCTTTTTGTATTAAGGTTAAGAAAGGCAGGAATCGGGTATTTTTATATAGGTCACTTGAAAATAAAAATGAATTTCTCACTTTGTTTGAGATAAGTGCCTTCGCTTATCAATGCAACAAAGTGGGTCAGTATATTGCTGCTCGCCCCTCATGAACTACGTCGCCAAGACCTACTAGTTTTTTTACATTATCATCTTTGAAGAAAAACCGTCAGTTCCGATGAGCTCTTACGATGACGTCATCAATGCTAATAATCTTTGTGAGCTCACCTGTTTTTCACAGAGGAAAGGTTACAACCAGTTGCCCTGTGTGCCTATTTAGGACTAATAATTACCTAAATCAGGTCTAGTCTACTCAAAAAGAACTGAACAATGTAGGGAATTTTGGCATCAGTTCTGGCGATGCTAAAGACTCCTGAGGTGATACTCCACCAGTAAATTTGTGCCAACAACGTAAGGCGTAAATTCGATGGAGGTGCTTCTCCCCCTAAGAGTTTCTCTGAGGGAGAGTTTGCTGTATCATAGTACAGTTGCCAAAGTTTACAGACCCCAGACCGTGAGAATCTCGGCAAAATGCAGAAAAGCGTGTGGCAACAAATATCCGAAACAAAGACAGCTAACACACCGTTATACCTTACTCAAATGGGACACAGTAAGGGACTGACTACCTCGTGCATAATGCAACAAAGTGGTAACTTCAGGAAGGCTACAACATATGAATACTTCTATATTTACTAAGACGTAAATGTTGTAAACAAGAATATTCATCGTCATTAGTCAGAGAAGTTTACCAGGAATGTGAGTGCGAAACTTCGAGAATGGTGAATTCAACCGGATTGACCGAATTCAGTAAAACAAGGAGCAGACGTTATAATCTCACCACGAGTGTTGATCACGTGGCTGTAAACGCGCACGGATTACAAGTATTGGGACACATCACATACCATACCTCTGTTGAGCAGGTTCAGTACGGCTCAGTCTACTTGGCTTAAACAGCTTTACCTTGCTTAGTAATTCGTATATTTACCTTACAAGTTTCGTATGATATAGCTACATTGGTTTACGTGTTGCAAGCTAACAAAGCCTAATTCGGAAGCCTTACAAGTGCAATCAGCACATTTCCTCTTGATGCTACACCAGTTTGGGAATATTTACCGGGAAAACACAATTAGTAAACAGTCAATGGTAAACAGTAGATGATTTCTGGTTGTTAGTCTGAGTTGGGCAATTCAACTGAAAATGTTTTAGCATCAATCACGATGACATCAGTGCGTGGTTGGGGAGCGTAGTGGAGAGTGGTGATGGGTCGATGAATGTGCCTTGAGCAGTGTTGCTTGTGTAAATATACTTGCTACTAGACGGGACTAATGTTCGATTCGTTGTTGGGTCGGGTTGGTTGATCTGTTGTCCTGTGTCCTATTAGGCCGATGACCTCCTGACCTTTGAGCTTGGCCTCCTCGCTGGTTGGCGCTGGAGTTACCTCTGTCGATGATCCTTCTGGTTCTAGTTCGTTACTTTTGTTGATCTGACTCCCATTCTATTATGGTTTTCTGGTAACAACAAAACGGACCATCAGCGCAAAAAACTCACCAATGGGCAGCACATTCCATTTTACTGCGAGCATGATCATTAGGACTTTGTACGTCTTACTTCATTCAAAAATGTGTGTACCATCCTAATTTCTATCTAATTACTTCAGCTGGTACATTAAAACCTTACTATTTTGCCAATATTTGCTGTTTGTACATGATGGCCTGTGCAACTTACGTGCTCCTAAGCGTTAGTCAAAGTATCAATTGAGATGATCTCCATGACTGTCTCGTTTTTGTTTCCTGTTAACGAAAGACCGGATTTCATAGTCTCAAAAAATACTTAACTAACATCTTACCATCTATTCATAGCTTTCTTATCTCTTCTCAATCCACAGCCTTTAGAATTAGGTTTTGCCGGACCATAGGTTACTAAATTTAGTGTCTTCTGCGTTAAAGCCCGATAAACTAAAAGCCTGATGAGTTGGGTGCCGGTAAACCGATGTGCCAAAATTTGATTAGGATGGACTCAAAGTAAACTGCGCACGTCAGTGAAACGCCTATGGAGAGCCATTTTTCCAAAATAAACACCATAAAATATATATAAAGTATACATATAAACTATATATAACATCTTTATCGATGAAGGAGGAAGGATACAAACCATCAAAGCGAGAGGTGCCGGTCAGTTTGACCGCACCAATGAAAGACAAAAAACATCCATATAAACCCTTTACTGTTCATAAATTATATGCTGATTTCTCAAACACATAGCAACCGTGAGCTGAAGACGGATAGCTCTGACGAAGGAATATATTTCTTACGTGCTGTGCTACTAACAAAGCTATTCACCGAGTTGTATTGACGTCGTTCATGAAAGAGTGACCTGGATTGGAACCTGTCCAACAGTGGTGTATACAGTTTCGTTGAAGACGAAAGGACAATACCCGATTCTGGAAAGTCATTTTACCAATAAACATGAATTTGTGGGAAGTAACTTGATTTAGGTGTATATGTAGATTGGCAGGCGGACATGTGGACGACTAGAAGTTGATGCAGCTCTTGAGGATGTCATGCACCGTTCATAAACGCATATACCCCTGATTGCGGAACGGGAATTCGGAAAAAGACTAGCGTTTTAGACAGACTCACTAATCGTCCTTTGGTGTGAAACACGTTGGCATTTTGCCATATGGTGTCACTGGGCTTCTTAGACAGTCTGTCTTAAAACAGAGTGATGATGGATGACATTCATTATTACGGGCATTGAGGCCTTCACATATTACTCCACACTCTAAGGCAATTTGATGTAACCGTTTCGCAAAAACCACACTCTCTCAACAAGCTTATGTGGCTTGGTTTGCATCATGAAGTTGTGTGAGTGGCACAGCAATCAGCTGATACTCGACTAAATTTTGCAGTCTGATTTATGCGTTCAATGGCATAATTTTGATGATATCTCGGTCGGAAATTTTTCAGCAGGCTAAAGCAGATACACTTAGTGTGAAACTGCACCTGATATCTGCTGAGACTGTTTGTCATTAACCATTCACCATACTTGCGTTGGAGCCAAATCTAACATTTTTTCTAATAGGTGCTTTTTTAACGATGGGCATAATGCCCTGGGAGTGATTTCCGCTTAATACTATGTTCATGATGCTCTTTGAGCTTTGAGCATTCCAGGCTTTCAATGGAAATCAGGAGTTAAAAGGCGTTTTTCATCTGATAAACCTCCATTCTCGTGAACAGCGAGAATTTTCCAGAATAGGCCATTATGTAGAGGGAATTTTCCGGATTTTACGGTATAGAATGACGGCAGCAAAGCATCGGTGTTGAACACTGACGTCATGCTGTCGTTGATGATGATGATGATGATGATGATGATGATGATGATGACTATGTAGAATGAACTCGCCTCGGGGATAATATCTGTGACCAAGAATCAGTGTATTAGGTTGTGGAAAGTTTGCTACCGATATGCCTTTATGACGAAATTTGCAGTAAACTTCTGTTACCGTTAGCAGAACCCATCGCGTTTGTTTCAAGGTGGACTGGTGGGTTTTAGACAACGATCAATGCCGAAAAATTCCACAAAATTGTGCATACTTATCCTAAAAGTAACCCCGGAAATGTTGTAACCGATCCGATTATGCGCTTTTTATAGGTTTGAATATTTTCGGAGTCACATTTCCGGTCCAATAAGTTGCACTACGGGCTATAACTACCATTCCGAAAACAATGCAGACAGTAGCCTCATTGTGGCAAACTAGGAGACCATCATCCAGACTTTAAAGGATCAGTTACTTTTGTCCTCTCTCAGCCGGATCTGATACGTCGCTTATTAGAACAAGCGATTAGCGCGCTAACACACTACGATAAACAACTGAAGCGTGGTGAATAATTTCAATGAATTCCTGCTGAGAGATAGTAATTTAAGCTCAG